TACACTTAATTGTTTTTGATATATTCTTATCAATCATTTAATTTTAAACAACAATTGCTAGCTATTGTATAACTAAACAGTTATATTAATCAAATCTATTATGTATTATCTACTACATACTTTCTACTATCTACCACTCATTATTCGCTAATCAATAGTCACTAATCACTATCATTACTCACTACCCACTATCTGCTAAGTTTTAATTGCTATACCAAACAGGCTCTTAATAGTTTTAAATTTGATATAATCAATAAATTAGTAATATATTTTTAATTAATAATTAAAAATTAAGATGTATAATCTACATGGATACATATAATATTAAATCCAACAGCTAGAATTTTAAAATATTCATTAACATATAACGTTTTTAAAATTAGAACTTCAAATCTTTTTTTATTTGAATTGAAACTGAACTGAAATATTATTTATATTATATAGAAGTTAGTATAGTGTATTTCATCCTCTCAATTTTTTTTTTAGGGAGGACCTGGTTAAAAACTCATTTTATAATTAATATATTTAAATATTAATTGTTAAATTAAATATTTTATTCATATAGATTATATATGTCAAATTTTAAATCAATTTAACATTTATAGTCTATAATGCTAACGACTTAAATAATTTAGTGGTAATTTCTTTTTATTAGAAGTAAGAGATCTTCAATTTAAATCGCATGGCATGCAAATAAAAGGTTTTTAATTTGAATTGCATGATATGTAAGTGAAGTGAGTTAAGAAATGATAAATGATTGTCTCTTATCATGCAATCTAAGATAAAAATAAAAGAAAAAAAAAAACATTTATAATCTACCATTGAATAACGTCCTGTTTCATAACGATCGAGGCGATGTGTAGGAAATTTTGGACTTAATGCAGGTCTGGTCTCCTGGAATTGAATAAAGCTAAAGAAGAGCATAAGCTGTTTCTCTTTAATTGATTGGTGTACAAATATATCCATTTGACTGCTTAAAAGAATGTGACAAGTAGATAGAGGAAGGAATGATGAAACGGCCGTGTCTATTATATGTTCGATAGAATTTAATGGAAGTATAATGTATGTGTCCCAGCAAAGATAATAATTGTAAAGTTTGAATACTACCCATTGTACTCGTATAATAATATATATTATTTAAATAAATAAATAAATAAACAAACAAAATTTTGGAATCGATCCTTAATTAAAAATCACACTAGCCGTGGCCGAGAGAGGATTTAGAGCTGGTCTGGTTCGGACAGGAAATATATTGAGGTTGACTTCTGGAAGGTTGATTAGGTTTCAAGATCCAAGTTAAGGTGTCATGCCTTCAATTTCCTTCAAAGACTTGAGGGAGGACTTTAGGGCAATACCTAAGTCAGTAATTTTTTTGAAAATTTTTAGAAAAGAATCTCTTAACTTAGAAGATAAAAAAGAGAATGAAAGGATCATAAATTACCTTATGAAGTGTTGGTTGATGGATATTTATAGCCTCATTGATGACCATTTTACACGTCTGTCATATATTGGCCTTTTCATATCTCTATCTCTTATGTTGCACCTCTATGAGGTCTCACAAATGAGCATATTTGTTAGGTCCTAAATGACGCATCGGAAGTTGCAAATTAAAAATTTCATCCACAATCCACCTAGGATTTTAAAGGATCTATTGACATTTAAGGAAGGTTTAGCGATTTTATCTCAAAGAGGCATAACTCTTTGATACGTGGCTCTAATCCACCACTTTCACACGAAGCCTAGAACCCAAGATAACAGTAACCCACCTGTATGCTTTCGGTATTCAAGAGAAGACTAGGTCACTAGTGTTAGCTTAGGACGAACCTAGTTTGTTCTTCTATTTGTTTGAGAATTTTAATGACCTAATTTCTACAATGAACTAAGAAGAGAATAATGTTTTAAACTCCTATTTCAACTAATAGGAATTATGAAGGCAATAGTAATTTTAATTTGATTAGAATTACATAAACTTAATCTTTAAATCAAAATTAGAAAACAAGCTAGGAAAGAGAAGACTTTCCCTCATTTTCCTCTTCTTTGCCACGCACCTAATCCATGTTGAACTAAGTGTGGACGCTGGCGCTCCATTGCCCTAGGTGCCATGCCAAACGGCCTTAGCCCGTTTGGTTAGGTTTCAAGCATATAGTCCTATATTCACTAATTGTCACTTTTGGATTTCTAGTCATTAATCTTGAACAAATCCAAACTTAAATAATTTGGAATAATTAATTTAGTTTAATTAATCTATTCTACCATTTTATCACTTGAAGTTAATTAATTTATTTCTTTTGTAAAAATAATTTTTTTTCACATAAATAATCTATTTCCATAAATTTGGATTTGTCTAAATCCTAATCCCTCAAGTGCATTAAATGTGTAACTCTTTAGCTTTCTATCACATTGGCAGTAAGTATACCGAATAGAATATGAGCAGTATCTATCAACATATCATGAATACCCAAAGTGATAAAAAGATCAATAGCTTCAACAAACTTTCTTATAATTGATATGCTTGTGTAATTCAATTTCTACCTCTTTGATATCTCAAACAAGCACAACACATACCATGTGTTATCATCATTAGAACTCGATGTCATTTTCTTTGATTTTCAAGATATATATATATTTCTTAAATGAACCCTTTCATCCATCTCATGGCCATAGCCTTGTAAGTAGCCTCTTCTTAATCAAAGGGCCTAGTGAAATCTTCTCTTATTAACTTGAGAGGGTTGAATCCTATCTTTTGACTTGCTAATTATATTCATTCGGTTTATGATGCACCTAACAACTATATTTCTCATAACTCCCCTCGCAATGATTGTTTTTAACAAAATCAAAATACACAAGTCTTCACATAATATAATGACAATCTTAAGTCAAAAAACCATTTACACTCGCATCGTAAATGAAAAGCAACTAATAGCACGTGCTCATGATAAGTCAATCCAATGAACTCATTTTCTTTGAAAAGTCATATGTAAGATATGATTTAATTCGTGAGAAAAGTCTTGCCACTTAGCAAAGCTTATCATGTGTTAATTTTTACGTCTACTAATATCTTATCTCAATTATATATATGAGTAATAAACAAATTAAGAATTGTTTTATTATATCATATAATTTTTACTTATAATAATGATTATTATTATCTTTTGATGCGGCAATCTATTCTAATGTATTAAAAAAATAACAATTAATATTTAATAAAAAATGTCATAATTTATATAAAATGTAATCACAAGCATAAAGAGTGTTTTGACAACCTAGTTTGCTTGAGAACGTAATCTAACAGTACATGAACTTGGGCTCATTAAGGCTTTTCAAGGTATTGGACCACTATTCCGAGAGGTCAATTTCTGAAAGTTTAGGAATTACCATTTTTATTTTTGTGATTAAGGGACAACCAAGAATATTTTTAAAAAATTTTGAAGAATTATTTTTTTAGCTTTTAAACATTCAAAAACTGTTAACGACTTAAATAATTTAGTGGTTATTTTCTTTCGCTAAAAGTACGAAATTTTGAATTTGAGTCATATGGTATGCATGTAGTCATCTCCTTTCACTAGAAGTATGAGATTTTAAGTTTAAGTCACATGATATGCAAGTGAGGTAAGATAATGAAAAATAATTGTCTCTCGTTGTGTAATTAAGATAAAAAAATTAAAAATTAAAAAAAAAAAGAGAGAACAAAAAAAGAAAAAGAAAAAAAGTAGAACAACAATTACTCGCATATGGACCAAAAGAGCGTGTTCTTCAAGAGTTGTCAACCTAAGAGTAATTCTAGGGCCACTGTATTTGGTTAGCAGTTGCCTTTGCCCTCATGGTCATGACTCATGATGGCATCAATTCGTGGCCACATGATTGATACTGCTCTGAGTGTGACATATTTGGTCCACCGAGCCTGCTTGCTTGCTCACAGACACATGACTTTTTGTTTGAACCTGGGGCTGAGAACCCCAAATGTTTAAAATGCCGAGCAAATTAATTACTTGTTGAGTTACCTGGGTAGTACTTCGTGGCTCTTACAGTATTCTTCTATATTTTTTTTTGGCAAAACCATAAGTTAAGCCCCTGAACCAACCCCAGAATCGCTATTAAGCCCCTAGACTCTAATTGATGCATTTAAGCCCCTGAACTCTACAATCCGAGCAATTTTGCCCCTCCTCTCACAGTCAACTTAACTGCTGTTAACTGCCGTTTGAAGACTGCATCGTGTGGCGAAATGTGACTGTCTCATGCCTACGTGGCAAGCGATTTTGCATCTGGTTTGCCCACCTTGATGCAAAAAAAAAAAA